ATTTCCTGCAGTACAACAATCCTAGCTGACTGTCCTATCTCATCCTGTACTGTTCTCTCAAACTTCCTTGCATTTTCCTGCAGTACCACAATCCTAGCTGACTTCCCTATCTCATCCTGTACTGTTCTCTCAATCTTCCTTGCCTTTTCCTGCAGTACCACAATCCTAGCTACTTTCCTATCTCATCCTGTAGTGTACTCTCAAACTTTCTTACATTTTCCTGCAGTACCACAATCCTAGCTGACTTCCTTATCTCATCCTGTACTGTTCTCTCAAGCTTTCTTACATTTTCCTGCAGTACCACAATCCTAGCTGACTTCCCTATCTCATCCTGTACTGTTCTCTCAAGCTTTCTTACATTTTCCTGCATTACGATGATCCTAGCTGACTTCCTTATCTCATCCTGTACTACCAATTTCCCAATCTTTCTAATATTCATCAATTGTGGTGTGTTGCTTCACTGTTGACACTATACATTTTATGCTGATTGCCTTGCAAGTACAAAAGGGCATCAGAGTATCTATGAGTATAGGAAGGGGGATGATGCCGGTGATAGTGTTGGTGATGGTGTCTAGCATGCCTACAGTGAGAATAGAAAAACAACACTGTAAAACACATTTCTAAGGTCAATCAATAAGTCCTATTGCAGTTTCACTACCATCTAGTTTGATCTAATGTTTTTTTTTATTATTGAATGGGAATGAAACTCTAATGGGACTCAAACTCTTTCAAACTCTTTCTTGTCTTTGTCTTCTATATAGGGAAACTATCAAGAGAAAATGTTCCTATCTTGTGTACCTAAGATAATAAAAAAAAAACTTGTTACTAGTATATACCATCTTCTAGTGTTTACATATTCAATGTCTTAAAATGTTACAATATTAGAATCACATAAGGGAATGACCACATAAGCTCTTAGGGAAGGAGGGATTTTGTCAAACAAATAGTATGAATATTAGAAACAGAAAATGAAAGTCAAATTGATCACCACCCTGAAAACGTCAAGTTGTCAGGCGCATGGAGTACATGAATAGTGCGAAGAAATCTGGATGTTAAATGTTCAACAAATGATCTAATAATGAAAAACAGTTCAAAATCAATAAATATTTGTGTTGGTAATTTAAAAGAAAATACAATACAATCTATAAAAATAATATGCCCCTCACTGTGCACTGTCAAGAGCTGGTTTATTTAAAATTTGGCTATAATGAAGGTTGACAAATATCAACACATCGCAGACCATGGTCCACACCATAGCTTTGTCATGTGCTACAGATGATGGTTAAAGGGATTTAACCCCTTGTCATTGCAGAACTCTTTACTTTTGGTAATAATGACAACAGACAACATATCTGGTACAATCAAGTAATGTGCACAACAATGAAGTTGTTTGAGTAAACACTTAGTGTGCGATATAGCCAAGAAAATAAATATAATTGAAATAAATTCCAGTCTCTATGAGACAGATGACGCTGCACTTGCCTGAAATCAAAATGACATGCACAATTTCTCAGGACAGATGTTATTTTCAGTAATCACACCAAGCAACATGCAAGGATTCATTCCATGATAGCTTGATTGTGGATTGGTACCTTCCCAAGCCTGACCAACAACCAGTGTGGTCAATAAGATTTTAACACAATATACAATGATAAATCTGTGACTATGGTTTGTGATGTGTTAACATGCGTACAAATATTAGTAAGTTACAAAAAAAAATCATCAGTTTGATTTGAAATTTGATTTGTTTTAGACATGACACCAATACATCTAACAAAATGGCCACCAGTCGGTCATTTTTTGACTGGTTGAAAAATACTGGTATGTAACATCATTCAACAAGTTTAAAATGATGTTGTCAATGCTCAGAGTTTTGGAAGACAGGACTGGATACAAGTTTATGCAATTTAGTTGGAATTAAAAATAAAATGTTACATTACAACAACTAATACAATGTACTAAATAAATGTTTCCATTGTTTTAACAGGGTATATGGAAAGTTCTCAAATACACAAAAACAATATAAATTTATAAAAAATGGCAGTCATCAGATGGCTTCGTGAACGTCACACACTAGACCATGTAGTTTGTTAGAACCTATGCAGAACAAAAGATGGAAAGAAATAATCTTGTGGGATAGGTAGGATAATTACACTGACGCATTCATCACATGCAATGACACCACTATTGCATCATGGGAAAAGAAAACAAATAAGTAAATCTGGAATCCCATGTGTACTTACAGTGCAAAACCATTTGCAACTGTTAGAGTGAATCAACACAGAGCATCTACGACTTCTCTAACACATACAAACATATACACTTAGAAAAATATAATTTATATATACCTAGTCACCAAGGGAACAGATAAAGAAGTCCGATATAAAATTTAATCATTTATATAAAAATGATAAAACTAAAAAAATATCTTAGATAAAAATATGACACTTATCAACAGACAGAAATAGAGGATGCAGGCATTGAAACGGTTCTCCTCAATGCTGCTATGCTCTCTGTTGTTGTTGTTGTGTACTGCTGTTTGGCTGTGACTGTCCATGCTGATCAGACGAGGAGCCTGGTGCCTGTGATGAGGTTGGTCTGCCACCAAAGGAAGGAGAGAGAAATACAGTCAGCTAACTAAAACAGTATTGGCAGTAATTCCAGATGGGAAGGACTTGCGCACAAGGAGCTGCTGCGAAAGATGCATGGCAGAGGTAAACATATATCATTCTTCTCTATGCAGTCACTGTACAGTAAGCAGGTCAGAAATTTAAAGCACATATTTAAAAGAAATACAAACGCTGAGTATTTCTTTTCACTTAAAAATAATTCAGAGGTACAGAGGTAGCTCGATCTATGTAATTACTATCAAAAAGAGAAAGAGAACAGGTTAAGTTGTATTTGTCTTTTAATCTAAGTTATGATCTTTGTATCATAATATATACAAACTATTGTTGTACATTTTTTTATGCTATATCATGTGGAGCACAATAAAGTTTGAAAATGTGATTTTACACATGTTTACACAAAGAACATTGTCTACCAGCTATAGTAGGCATAATTAACAGATCCCAATAACACAAACTTTTCAAATTTAAGATGTTTACTTGAGACAGAAGTAGAAAAATTAGATAAATTTAAATTAAAAATAATCTCTTTACGCAGTGCTAATCAAACACCACTAAATGATTTCCACACTTCAATCTTGTCATCAGAGTTGGTAAAAGAAATACCACTGGTCATATTTTATATTCAATCATTTCTAGAACACAGATGTATAATTTTTCTTGATAAATCAAAGAGTATGAACCAAAAAAATGAGGAGGAAAAAAAAATGTTCCTACATTGCTGGTTATGTTAGTCATTAATATAATTAGCATTTTAACTTGCCTCCTCACAATTTGTTCTCCACGCGTTATGAGCAGCGTATGGCTCTATGCATATGCTTGCATAATCAAATTTTCTTAACACGTTCAGGCTCATCAGAATAAATCCATTCACAATTTGAACACACCTTCCGGTATTTAGTGTCCAACTGAGTTGAATTATGGTATTTAACTTATGTAGGTCAGCAGGGAAAACACAATGTACAATTTAATAATTTTTAATTTGGTGTTTTATTGTAGTACTATTTGTTACACTCTGTAAACGATGTTCATATATAAGTACATTAATGTCACAAACAATTATATCATAGGTTTGGCATTTTTTGGATATGATGATAAAACAAAATGTAGAGTTTAAATGACTAGTTGGATTTTACCGGTAGTTAGATATTTTTTGTTCCAAACAAAAAACTCAAAATGGCCACACACAAAATCTTTGTCTCCATGGAAACAGCACAATCCCTATAGTGCCATGCATCATTTGCAATTTGCTACAAATTACAATTTTAACCATTGATAATCAGACCAAAAATCTAGAAAAAAAGCATTTCGCAGAAAAAACAACGTCACTGATCAGCACCACTACATTTTTCAATATTAGGGTATTCATTAAGGGATGTCTATTACCAGACAAAACAAGAAAGTCTGTACAATGAAGCAGAGAGAAGAATGGTTTGAGAGGGATAATGTAAAAATAGCTACATTTACAAATAAACAACAACAAGTACCATCAGGGAAGTTGCATCATGAAGAATCATAGAAAACAAACATGAAAAACATGTAGCTAACATTGACAAATCTCAACACAGAATGGGACCAAAGCTTGTAGGATCATAATTAATTCATTTTTTTGGGTCAAGCAACTCCCATAACACAAATGAACAAATTATAAGTAAAATGCATTTAAGCTTTGAGCATAATTAATAATTTTCATAATGCGATTTTTTCAAGTGCTGGCAGATTTTGAAAGAAAGACAAGAAACAGTGATAGCAGAAGTGAATGTTGTGGAATTCAAAAATATAGAAGTACAAGCAAATAAAAGCCACACAGAAGCATAAACACCAAAAAGTACAATAAAGATACAGCAGGCAAAACACTGAGCAGTAGATTGAGAAGAAAACTGCAATGACTAGATCTTACAGCAACAAAGCTGGCATTTCGGGGAAATTAAAAAAAGTACAGGTAACCATATGATTCGTGCACAATCATGCAAACATGTACACTTGACGACAAGGAGATGATGAAAAAAAACAAAAACAGACTATGACATGCAATTTGTAGAAAGCTGCAGCTTGTGCTATTTTAACTGTAAAAATTAAATATTATGTCATATGTTAGCAGCAAACACTCAGAGTGTATAATGTAAGAACATTTATCTTCACTCAGTAACACACATATCAGACAACTTAATATAATATGTACATGTACAATCATGATGAAAATATAAATATGAAAATAATAATTATGGTGTGAGAATAACAAATTTATATGCCTAACAGGATTCATAGTACACTAACTTGAACATAAATTTCAGAATTTGGCGCTACAAACAGCTGCAGGTACAAACTGAAAAAGAGAAGTGAGTGAAACTTCCCTTCCTTATAGCCATGTAGGAACATGTATTCTTCTTTTTTTCACATTTTCCAGTAGAGGTGAATCTTAAAAAATTCTTGATGCTGTTGGCATATTTAAGAAATTTTAGATACACAGGAAGAGTGAAAGAAGAGTACCCCATGCACATTTTTTAAGTTAATGGTAGTACAGTGAGAATCCCACAGCCACAATTCAATTGGAATGTTGATATGATGCTGAACATACAACTACACACTGAACATGTTACCTTAAGTCTTACAGAATTACAAGAATAAAGACTTCATGGTTACATGTACATGCTGAAAAATATAGGAAATTCTAAATACTGTGACTATACAAGACAAGGAAAGTTTGTCAAGCAGCACAAATACTGCTTTATCTATCGTGCTCGAGTTTTACTAGTATTTATTTTGAATAAAATGATAAGATAAAGGTTTCAATACTACAGCAATATAACTGGGTATGCATTTTCTGTTATAGTTCATATGATACAAAACGTCAAGGAAGAAGCACTGCACTGGATCTAATTTCCTTGAAAAATTCATTTGTCACTCAGAACCACTTGCAATACATCAGTAAAACTGTGTGGTAGTGTTTTTAACAGAGATCCACTGAAGATGTAATGTTCTTACATAATACACTCCCTCAATCCCATTCACAGCTGCACAATATGTCTAAAAAGCTTGTGACACCTTGATTTATTGATACCAGCAAAAACTGTCAATGATACCAGCTACACTGATTACATAAAAAATCTGTTCTTCTACTTGAAAACACTAAACTTTGGATATGTTACATGCTTTTATTTTGATATAATTTCATGTATACAAAAAAAATATAACTCTGTCACACTTCATTTTAACTCTCGAGACCTGTAACTGGAGTGACCTTGGCTTTGAATTGAAGATGTGAATCTAGCCAAACAAGGGACTGTACACATGGACACACAAATAACGATACATACAGTACAGAACATATCCAGCATCCATCAAAAATAAATAAATAAAATGTTTTTCATTATAAAAATATTTTTTTTTTATAATTGGTCAAAACCGATTATGCAGTGTATGTACAAGATATCACTAGGTCAAGAATAATGAATATTTCAACCCATTGAACACCAAAATTAAATTGTCAACTTGAAAAAAAAAATTCTGATTTTTTTTTTTTTTTTTACATATTTTGACCAACACTTATTGCCAATAGAAAATGATGTCTATCTGGTCAAAAATTAACAAAGAAATTTGGGAAAAATGAATGAAAATATACAAAATGTAGCACCAAAATATTGGGGGGGGGGGATGATGACATTACTTTTATGATGATGACAGGAAATGCAGGTAACATGAGGTGAACAATTGGGATTGTGTGCAAGGTGAGTAATGCGAGGTAGTTTGACGAGAACACATTAATGGAGGCAATGAGATTATCCATGGATCTAAATCTCACAGCACATTGTTTAGCATAGCTAACACAAGGTGAAATAATAAATCATTAAATTTCTATTGAAATGTTTGTGATTTGATGCACAATGTCCCAGAATCGCAAAATACATGAGATTATATCACTTACAAGATCAAATCATTTTACATCACTGGATGTTCTTACCAATGTGAGCTTATTTTCATATGCAATACAACAGTATAATTTCCAAAAGGATAACAATGTGCTGAAAAATTCAAATCACTTTTGGCACACATAAAGCAACTGGTTGTACTTTGATTTGTTAACTCAGATGTTTTTTGTAACACGTTACCAATCGACAAGTTTTAGTTGGTCAATAAGTATACCAAATCCAAATAGTTAAAATGAAAAAGTCATCAGGCTACTCAGACAACTATCATGATTATTTCATAATTTTCAGTTAATATGCAATCAATTTTCACGGAGGCTCAACATTTTTAAAGCAGCATTGCAAAATACATCTGATTTTACAAAGAGTGAAAGAAAAGAAAACAGCAATGCACAGTTAGGATGAAAAACACAAGCATACCTGGATGAAGGCGGTGGTTGAGTCTTGGGTTTCGGCATTTTGGGCAGTAATCCCTGGATCTCCTTTTTCTCGTCAAAGTTTTTCCATAAATCATACAACTTTAAAATCAGCTGACTAATTTCTAGAATCTACAGAGGGGTTTGAAAAGAAAAACACATACGAATGCTATACTTACATGTATATGAGAGTATCGGTACACTGCCAACAAAAAACATGGATAAGCTACACAACTGCAGATACTGAAATTGGCTATGCATCACTTTGGAATGTCTTGGCTCCAGGTTAAAGTGGGGGGAGTAGTCACATGTGCATGTGACAAATGGCTATGGTGTGTTGTTGTTTACGTACAAGCATTTACCCATGAGCTTTTGCCTGTTTCAGCATGCATTGTTATTGTCACTTGGAACTCAATTCCTGAGCATGTATAGGTGACACCCTCACCACTTTAATCTCAGAGTGGCGAGAGTTGATCTAGTTTTAATCTTTATAGACTGGATATAGCTTATGCGACCCAATCTTGTGTTAGTTGCATGACCGAGGGCCACAAAAGCCGTATCTGGGCATTGAAGGTTTTATCGTATATCTTATAGGTGTAATTACAATTTTACCATGGCGTGACCTCAAACACATAAATATAATTTAGGACATGTTTTGTTTTCTTTGATGAAAACCAGGTGCACTGGGCCGGATGTGATATGAAAACTACCCGTACTGACCTGATGTGAGGGCATGCTACCAATAGCATTACGAGGACAGGCAATACTAGGTATACATTGTATGATAAGAACATTTGTTTGCTCATGTGAAAATGGTATGTATCACATGCATAACGAGCGTAACTCCAAAGTGTCAACAAATCCCATATACCAGTAATACAAACTGCACAAAGTTTTACTAGTGCCTAGTTTGAACAAAAAAAGCATAGCAGCTTGATCTTCAACCTCATAACTTTCACTCTGTATGTGCAACTCGAAATACAACCATCAACATACATGCAGACACAGAGCCAGACACAGATACGTCTTACCTTGTCCAAGTCAACATTTAACTCAGCAAACCAATGTTTACAATCTTTTTGCAGTATAACACATGCCATGTGAAGACAAGCTGTGACAAAGAACCAAAAGATGTTATTATTGCTATGTTTACACTTGCTCCAATCTGATTAAAATCTGATGTAGTGTACGGGCTTTAATTATTGTGGCTATAAACTTATTTTAATTTTATTTTTTATTACTTTTGTTATTAATGCCCTTTTATTTCATTATTTTACTTTGATTTTGATTTTGTGATTTTTTTTAATTCTGCCCTACCTACATCTGATCCGACGCCTATGTAAGTCCCGTTCAAATCTCGCATAAGTAACAGCCAATCACAGCCCCCCTTTTATACAGGCTGTCGGTTGCTTACTTTTCAGTGTAGCGATACTCTACGGGCAATCTTTCTGTACATTATATTTTGCCCACTTGAATAAACCATTAATAGAAAATTGCTAGTATATTTTTATTTGCAAAAGAAATTCCACAGCATTTTACAATTTTTGTCATTACATTGAATATTTTTTTCACTTCCAACAAATGTGTACACTTCCAGATACATCTTCGCCAACCAAGGTTCGTTCATTCAGTCATCGCTTCAATTTTACATCACTGAGCATAATTATCTAGAATGGAAGCAAA